AATTTTTTTTTTTTCACATGAAATTCTTTTTTTTTTTAAGCAAAAAACTTTTTTTTTTTTGTTTTTTTTTTTTTTTTTTTTTTTTTGAATCTCGTTTTTGTTCTCCTTCTTCAAGTAAACCAATTTTAAACTCGTCTTTTATAAACATAGAACACTTAAGACCATAAGACTCATGATGAAACCACAACTTAATTCACAGAAGCACCAACGTAACACATTTTACAGTAACCTTTCTTCTGTACATTGAAACAGTATAAAATATAGGTAATTTCATGTGCATTAAACCATGGATTGTCTAACTGTGAGTCAGTTCAGCAAAAGGTGACACAAGTAGGTAGCATTTGCCCTAAAACAGGGTAAATATTTTCTTATACTAATCTACAAAAAGTGGTTCTATATATATACTTTAATGAGAAAGTGAGCCACCTAAAATGGCCTTATCAAAAAACTTTACACTGCCTGAAAAATGTAAAAACTATTACAGACCTCTAGAGACTTAAAATCAGACAGTTTTATTTCTCAAACTGTTTTGGAAGTAGTCTGTTAGAAACCAACATTCTGTGCCTCTGGACACATATTGCTATTGTCACCAGTGACCAGGCAGAATGCCAATCCCTGTATAATACTTTCAAGTCTGTTTTTTTATTTTATTTTATTTTTTTACGAAATGAAAACAAAAACAAAAAACAAAAACAAAAGAAAACGAAACCCGGAGGAAAAAGAAAAACAAAAAACCAAAAAAAACAAAACAAAACAAAAAAAAAAAAAAAAAAAGAAAGAAAAAACATTTTGCCACAGGTTGTCTTTAAATCCTATCATTAATTTATCTAATAATAAATTTCAGTCTTGCATGAATGCAGCAATGTTTTTTCACATTGACTTCCCAGAATTCATAGCTAGATGAGGTCACATGCAAATTTCAAAGGTCAAACTAGATCAAAGGTCAGTAGGAGAACCAAATATGACGTGAGGTCAGAAAGACATCAGAAACAATGACGGGACGATGAAACTTTTTTTTTTTTGAGACGCCACAGGGACATGCTAGGCAAACGATGGGCTAACGGGCATGGAGATGTCTAGGGAAAAAACAAGGAAGAGGAAAAAAGTTACACAGAATCTATGCAGCACAAACAAAATCACTTTTATGGGTGCACGAGAAAACTAATGCAAATCTTTTATCAGTAGAGTCTATGAGCTGTTCACACAATTTGCATTAACTTACAATACTTGTCAACAGCAGCACAATGGAACCCCAAAAGAATCCATCTGAGAGGAGTCAGAGAGAATGGATTCGTCTTTGGGGAGAAAGGAGAGGAAAGAACCAGCTTCTACAAACGTAACATAAAGGTAAGGGGAGGGAAAAAAAGGGCCAGACGACTGAACTTTAAACTAGGTAATGGAAACTACGAACAAAATAACCAGACAAATACAAACAAGAGGATAAAAGCATGAACTGTAAAGGGTGTAGGGTTCAACAATGAAAAAGCGCCCATTCTTGGCACAATTACTCTAGAGACTACTTCAAAGGATCTAGCTAGCATAGAGAGCTGCTCTTTAGGTATCCAATAAGTTAACAATAGGCAATAAATAACTTCCATTATTTCTGAGGCAGTAAAAATTTTGTATAAAAATAGAAATGCTTTTTACAAATAAAATTTACAGGCCTGTGGCTTTCTTTTTTATTATTATTAAATTTATCTCTCAAGAAACATCAAGTATTGTCACTCATTTTATTTTTTTTTTTTATTTTAAACCCTGTAGCTTTAGAAACAGATCTCTAAATCTTTTTTACATTAATCCTTTCCAAAAAAAAAACCAAGAACTTAAAAAAAAAGTGAAATATAAAGACCAGTGTAAAATCAGACTAATATATAACAATACATTATTTTGAACTGAGAAAAAAAAAAAAAAATCAAATCTTCTCAAAAAACAAGTTGATGTAGTGGAAAGACTTGTTTCAAATTTTTTTGTTGCAAAATAAGTGCTTCAACTGGCAGGAGGCCATTTTCTTTAACCTATAAACTGCTGGTGCCACCCTGGTAAAATAGGATCCATCCATAGAAAACAACTTTTATTGTGTGCTAATGGCACCAGGGTTCACAGAGTTAAATTGCACATTTTTTGAGAGAGAGTGTGTGTGTGTTGCTTTGAATTTCAAGACGTTTGTTTTTTAAAAAGGAGATAAATTATGCTGCAAAACAAAATACAGTAACACAACTCACTAATTACTTGGCGAGGAAATGTGAGCCAAGTGTAATAAGGACAAATGGGGAAATGGAAGTGGTAACTGTAAAAATAACTGTCTCTTGGTGAAGGTTGGCTATATGTTCTCTCTTAACCCCCCTGCAGAGGACAGGTTTGCTCATGGGACTTACCCTAAGAAAGCTAAAATAAGAGCAGTAAGCATCTGGGGTTAAGATCAGTAAGGTTTGCTGTCATTTTTGGAGCGTTTCAGCTGAACCTTCAAGCGTTTCATGCCAATCTGAAAGCCGTTCATAGCCTGGATAGCAGCTTGTGCAGAGACTGGATTGTCATAGCTAACAAAACCTATGAGACACAGAACGGAGGCGGGAGAGAAAGCGAACTGTAGGTTAGAACAAATTTCAGAAGGCTTTTGTTAGGATTTTATTATTGCTATTTGTTTGACACATTTATCTCTCTTTATTTAGTTGGTCACAGTTTATATCCCACTACCTTTCTCTTTTTCTTCTCTTTACCTTTACAATATTTGTTTTCTACTTGGGATGTGGTTGTCCAGTTTTGGTGCAATGCAGTTTCCCAATCTGTTTTTTTTTTTAATATACCTACCTTAGAGACTGTAGATATTTATCACTGTAATACTTTTCACTGTGATATCTACATACATCCCGGTCTATTAGCCCAATCTGCTGATGTGAAGCTGAAACAGAATACCTGGTTACAAAAACAAAACCCAAACTTGGATGCCTGTGTGCATTTGCACCTCTGAATGTAAGCTCATGAGCACTGGTCCTGGGTGGTATTAAACAACCATCTCCTTGGGCCAAGCCTGGGACAGTTGCAATATTAATATTTTGTATTTTTGCAGCTCAAGACCTCAAGGTACATTAAATGTTCAAGACCTCAAGGTACATTAAATGTTTATTAATTCAGCCTCTTGGTCCCAAAAGGGGCATGCAAGGATCGAAATTAAGCAACATCATAAAGACGATGGCAGGGCTTGATGAGAACTTCAGATCTTCTGCTCCTCAGTTGCTAGCACTAACTAGGGGGGATAATGCTTGCTCAGGTAATTCAGAATGGCTGGCCTGGCTCAGCTTTCTTTTCCCTGCGAGACTCAAAAAGCTCTGTTCATAATGGACTCAAATCTCCCTGATTCAGGAAGCCCAAAATTCATTTTCATATCTGGGCCTCCCACTTGTAATTGCAAGGCTCGCCTAACTGCTGCTCTGTCTCTGCTCTGGCTAATTACTACTGCATTCCAGCCCACTATTATGCATACACTTTGCAATGCTTCCTCTTCTTTCCACTCGAATTTGCCTTAATATACATCCCTTCAGTCTGTTAAAGCTGCCTCCCATACACTTTGTTTTCAATACTTCTCAGCTGCTCTCTTCTATCAGCTTTCTTCATTCATGCTTAGTGCCTGCATCCTTTTCTGATTTAAAACCTCTTTTTACCATCATTTTAACCTGCTCTTTTATGGCTCTTACTTAACTCGTGCTGCTGCCCTCTTTCTTCTTCAGTGTCAGAGTGATACGCTTCCCTCATTGTAAAGAAAAGAACCCCACTTAACAAGTGATCTGGTCCCTGTCTGCCCTCCCTCCTTCACAGACCTTCCCTCTAGTTCACCTTAAATCACCTTCACCAAACTATTTACTTACGATTCTTCTCTGATAATCCAGGTTCACATCTGCTTATTCCACTAAAAAAAAAACTCATCACTTAAATCTCTGTAAACCCTCTCCTGGCCAAAGCCAACACAATTGCTTCATGTGGTTGATTAGCCATCAACTTCTTAACAGATAATAAATGTTCCCTGTTACCTTCCTTGGTTCTAGTAACTTGTCACTTCCTCATTTTCTTCCCTTGATCATTTCCTCTTAATATTACTGCCTTATCCTGAAGAGCTTAATCACTTTCTTCTTTTCTTCTAGAAAATCTTGTAGGAGATCTTATCTATCCACATGACTAATCACTGTCTTAGCACTGCACTCTTTTGTCTAATTCCATCAGCTCACAGACCTCAAGCACTAGAATTTCCTTAGGAACAGAAGACATAGCTATCATGAGTTGAAAGGCAGCTGTAGCACCTTCCAGGCAGATATTCCATAACCAAAGTGTAGCTACTCTTACCTTCCTTGACACTTCAGCAGTTTCCTCTACAGCCTTCCTGACCTTCATGTTCTCTTAAGAGCAATCAGAATGGTCTTTAGCTACAAAATTCTCATTATCTTAGTTCCTTTTTATCTTAGCTAGTCTTAGTGACCTGAAAGTTAAGCAACTGATCTAAACTAGTCATCAGGTGGCATCTATGAATTGGGAATAAAGAAAAGTGAGTACACCCAGAGGTGGCTTTTCTTCCTACTGTTTATGCCATGAAATGAGACACTCCTCTTTTGACAGAAGAACAATAATCTCAGGCTATCCTTACCTTCCAGAGGGATGTAATAAGGCACTTCATTCAATGTCTGTTTAATAGTTTCCTTGACACAGTCACAAATTCAAATATACATCCTCTGTGCTGCACCAGTGGAATCAGCCTTTATCATTCAATTGTTATTCTGATTCACAATTTGTCTCTGTACACAGAATGCTATATCTACATTAGCCTGTTACACTTTCATCTTGTCCCTTATCATCAACCTTCACTTCTAAAGCTTGTGGAGGAGTCTGGCATTCTCTCCCTTTATTTATCTGTTTCTGATTGCAACCGATCATCATTTTTTTTTTTTTTTGGTCTGAAACTTAAATTGCAGGTTACATGGGGATTATGTTCCTTATCAATTTTCAAAGCATATGTCACGATGATCCTGATTTTTGTTTTAAATCTCTTGGTACCTTTGTAACCAGGATAAATATTTTTAATCATTTGAGTAGCGATTTTGCTGTGTGGCAGACTGAATTTACACATGGATGTCACCGGATCCCTTCTCCCCTGCCTTTTACATTTTCTCATTTCTGTTATTGTAAGATTTATGAAAAATGAGAAGGCTGGAGAGTGAAACCTTTTGTCTGCAGAATCAGCTAGAGCTCACAAGAGTTCACGGAAGAGTACTTTCAGGGGTAGAGGGACTGTCCTGTCATCCTCATCACTATTTAATCTCTTGAGCATCCATTTGAGCTGGACAAGAAAGCAAATAATACCAAAGCTCATTTTCTGCAAAGAAAAGTAATTTTTCATTTTGTGAGGCAGTGTTACATAAAAGCTTATTATCACTACTCCAAGATTCACTTGGAATGTACCTTCTCTTTCCAATTCTACCAATGGATGGCCTTGGGCAATCTTTTCACCATTGTAGTGCTCACTCTGTTCTCTGTAATTTGTCTTCCAAAAAGTCCCCAACCATACCAGCCGAACAAAAAAGAATCAAGCCCAAACTGCACTAGGAGCAATGGCCATTACGAGTCAGAAACGTGTAATTCAGATGCACTATTGTGCCAGTTTTTGGGTGAGGGTATAAAGAGAGAGGAAAAAAAAGCTTTTGAAATACAAATATGGGGTTGAGACGACAAAGAGATGAGGTGATTCTTGCTTAGTAAAACTGGGCCAATGGATACAGTATGCTAAACTCGCAGGATTAATTCTGGCCTGTGACTAGGAGTATCACACGGGTAGTCACCTACTGAATCTGAGCATCTCAACTTCCTCTGCCAGCATAGTACTTTTTGCTTTTAAAGCAGAACTCTCTCGCTAGTGGCAGAATATCTGGGGAAGGAAGAACAAGGAATTGCAATGTTAGTGAAACTTGACTAATGCCTAAAAGACAGAGGACTGCTCCATCCATTGGGTGTTGACCCCTCTGTTTTCCCTCAAACAAGATTGCCTCAGTTCATCATTCTAAGTAAGGTAATTGTGTCCCATAAATCCAGATGAATGTGTAGGTAGGTAATCAAACAGTAAAAAGAAACTCACAAAAACCTAGTATGGGAAGCAAGTTGATGAATTGAGCTGCCTGTTCAAACTAATCTACATTTTTTCATTAGTGATCACAATTGCTGCGTTTCGATTAACACAGCTTGATTTGACATTTCATCAAGATTCGTGAAGACCTCAACAATGATTTTGTCACCCCAACATACTAACTGAACTGGTTCCAGATCAATAGGGAGTCATTTTCAATTCCACTTTTCAAATTTGCTATAGCCTCAGGGACTGTTTTAACCCACTGCAGAAATACACTGGACTATATTAGTCTAAATACGAACAATTTCTTGTAAAGCATAAACAGGGACCAAAAAATATATGGGAAAATGCAGAAAGAATGTTGCACCCTTTCTCTAAAGTGAATTACTTTCCAGGTGTACTAAGGATTTGTCTTTAGGTGAAAAACTCTCAGATTGTGCTATGACTTGAATTCTAGTGCAGTAGGTATTTCTGAGTAGTGCGATAACTGCTGCTCTTCTTTGGGTATTGTGTGTTTAGATAAATTCATCTCCTTCCAAAATGGTTTAAAGACCAATAGCTGCTCCTGAATGGCCCTTGTGTAGACAAAACCTTTGACAGACACATTTTAACAGAACGTAGATATAAAAATGTAATGATAGGCAAGCTAAGAAACACATATTATGGTTAACGGGGAAGCCTGAAAATTAAGGAATGGTGCTGTGCAAAGAGTAACAGCGCCAGTACAAAGGAGTTTTTGAAAATAAAGGGACTGTCATGACTAATTTATCATATATACAGTTGTTTTTCTATGCTCTGGGAAAGAGCTGTCATTTTTCTGGAAACTCCAGTATTTTGGGTCAAACATTCACACATTTTTCTTTCAGTGATTCTGTCCTCCTCCCATGCTCTCTTCATGCCTTGCATTGGAATCACAGTTATTAGACTGCAGTCTAACTAATTACCACTAGCTAACATTCTGTTTTCCACTCTATCAAGTCACTAAACTGGTGCACCTATGTCATTCAAAGAACATCTGCCCACCTGACTAACCCTAGAATTTGTTCTATAACAACCAAAACATCATCTTTTCCTCCACTGCAATCTAGCTTTCTGCTAGCTCAGAGCATTCCTTAGGAAATTTGACACTGATCAGTCGATGCTGCCTTCATCCCTGCCCTAAGGTAAGGGCATATACTGCCCTTCATAATGCATTGGCACCTGCCCAAAGCAGTTATAGCTGCATATCTAGACACCAACTGCCAGTAACGTGTTCTGAACTACATGCACAAGCCATTCAAGCACTAATTGCACAATCTTGTACTTAATTCAGAAGAAAGAAATTCCTGTAATGTAGAAGTAATGGGTTAAACATAGAGCATTCTTAAGTGGCTCAGCTATACAATAGAGAATAATTAGTTATCCATAATAAGGCAGCTTAATAGTATACTAAATGACATTCCCCCACATAGGGTGTAATTAGTTTCATGTACTTGACACATTTATGCGAGATGTCAGACTGGAAGATTATTATTGTTTTTTCACATCCAATTTTTAGTTAGAACTAGTTTGCCTGTGCATCCTTCCACTCACTTGAGGATTAGGAGTCCATTATTTTGGGAATGAGATTCCAGTATGACATTTCTCACACTGCTGTTAATTTTCTTTCCTGACCCCTTTTCAATGCAGTGCATGTGGTTCTTACTATTTAATTTATTAAATTTGACATACCAAAGCACTTGCTCAGATTGGTCTGTTTGTCAATGAAGACTTTAGCAGAGATAACATTTCCAAAAGGCATGAACATCTGCAGAATGTCCTGGTCTCCAAATTCCTGGGGGAGGTGGTAAATAAAGAGGTTTGCCCCTTCTGGACCTTTAGGAAAACAAACAAATAAAAAAGTCTGAAAATGGCTATTACCAGTGCTACGTTTAATCTGTTTTTCCATAGTACTTACTGGAGGTGATGGTCAGAAAGCATTTCACTTTGCAACTCCGAAGGAAGAAAAGTAAGTGGATCATCAAAGGAATAGAGCTGAAATGGAGCTCTTTAGAGCATCCTATCTTGCAAAGTGTTCACTCGATACCTCTACTACAAAAGAAGTTAAACTGCAGGCTCTTTCTTCAATTTACTCAAGTGTCTTTCAGTAAAATTAGGGTTAGGAAAGCAGTTACGCAATGTATTACTCTTTCACAATACTCCAAGATCTGCACAAAGAGCCCCCTGCTGCTTCAAACACCTACATGGGTTTGTTGGTTTAATTCTCCGTTGCAGGAATTTAGGGAAACACAACCAGCTGAGCTTAGGTTGGAGCCTCGCAGATTTATACTAAAAGGGCAGGAAGTTGGTGGCAATGGGAACAGAAAGGCTAAGAAAAAGCAAACGTTTTGACTTGGAAATCATGGAAGTCAGAGAGAGAAAGAAGCTAAGAACTAAAGAGCTTGCCCTTTTTAAAAATACGAATACTCCTGAGAAAGCTCTATCTCCTGGAAAAAGTTCCGTAAAATAATTATTTTTAATAAGTTCAAACTGAAGTTGCTGGGTTGAGATTAAAGTGGCTTTATACAAATTGAGGTTGAAAAGAAAGGTACAGAAAAGGTGCTTTTGAATATTTTTCTTATAGCCTATGTCTGAGATACATGTTATCCGTGCTATTGGTTTAAGCATGCCCCATAGCAATAAATGTGTTATTTTTTATTTATTCTCAGTTCAGTTTTTCTTTTATAGGCATATGCTGGGAATGAGCCATTAATGTGACCTATGATGCAATCAGACACGTGGCCCTCCCACACAGTGGGAGCACAAGAAAACAAACATTTCTGTTAAAAGCATGTATAAAGTAACTCACTTAAATATTCCCTTGCTTAATGGAACCTAAGTGTGTATATGGTGGGATGTCTCTGGTTTCAAGATTGGAGCTAGAAGCACACACTGCATTCATGGAACACCTTCAGCAGCAGTCACTGAAGACCCACCTCTCACAACAGAAGAACCAGGCCGCTGCCCTCTGTCAGCTGAAGTAAAAGGCTGCAGTATTTGCCCAGAGCAAGATTTAAATGGCTTATAAAAAATATTTTTCAAAAACAAAAAAATTTTGTTGGTGGTGGTGGAAGAAAAGAGGGAGAAAGAATTTCACCTGCACCTTATTTCTTCTGACATAAAATAAATTATAATTACAAAAAAACTTTCTTTTTTTTGTTTTTACAATATTATTTTAAAATATTACTATTTTTTAAATAGCAAGCAAAACTTGTTCAGCAAGCAAAACTTGTTCGACAATGGTGTACAGCATGTGCACGAGGCAGTTCACTGTGCTTCAGCACTGAGTACTGATACTGTATTTTGCTTTGATATCTTGTTATCCTTGACCACTCTTCACCGTGCCATGAGAAATCATGGTAAGAAGTAAAACAGAGTTGTCAGTATTCAAAGATGGAATTTATTCACTTCAACTTAACCCGTTACTTACAGAAACAAGGCATAACAGAGCAGGCTGTGTTTTTAAAAAGACACTGTCAATTCAAAAAGAAAACACAACCCAGACTTGATAGCTCATATACTGACAAAAACAAACAGAAGAAAATCAAACTGTCCTTCAGTGAATATCTTAGAATGACACCAGATAAACAATATCTGGTGTCAAACAGTCCACTGTCACAGACCGATGTGAGTGAGATGAAGGACAAGAGCACAGAACACAACAAAATTAGGAAAAAAAAATAATAAACCAACAAAAAGCTTCCATTTACTAATCTAAGCTTTTAGCAGTAAAAGAAACAACAAATTTAGAGAAAATATTCATTTTAACTCCACAGTGTCTTCATATAACAACCAGCTGTGGGAATGCCGAATTTATCTTCCTAGGAAACACCACATCCCATAACAGCGTAAGATACGATATTAAACGAGGATAAAAATCTTTCTCTTGAGGATATTACAGTGGGTTTATTTCCAAAGCTTATCTCTGGCAAGAGCAGTAGTGGGAACACAGATACAATCTTAGAAAGCATGCAATATTTTCCTGTCCTTCTAGAATTAGCTGGAATTTTGGATGAGAGAAGGGAAAGCAATGAAAACAGAAACAAAACCCCAAAATGCCTGAGTACAGGAGAATGAAAGAGGGGAAAAGGGTAACCTCATGTTACTAAACATTTAGTAATTACTATTCATTCATTCTTAGCAGCAAACTCCTGAGGTTTGTTTTGCTCTACTGGTGCAGGGAGAGGGACAATCACTCCCTTAAGTTGCATCCCTGCAAAACCCAGAATTAAGCAAAGAACCACTTAAAGCAAAGTCAGATCTGACTCAGAAAACTTAAACCTAATCAGATTAAATCCATTATTACGGAAAATGGAAAACAGTGCAAAGTGTGAGTGAGGGTCACCTGTAAAGGGATGAATTTTGCTACTGATGCCTTTTTATGCAGCAGAGCTTTTAGCGCAGAACTGTCAGTAAGGCATAGCTGGAAGGAGAGATGGTAAAAAAGAAAAGAGAATTACAGTAGAGATTGAAAAAATGAAAAACACTAATCAGGGCAGGAGAAAGTGTAAACTTCAAAGACAAGGCTATCTGAGATCTTTTGTTGCTTTCTGAGATCTTTTTGTTGAGCCACTGTGAAGAAATAAACCCAAGGCATGGCTGTGGGAATGCCTGGCTGTCTCAGAATCATAGAACCATACAAACATAGACTGGCTTAGGTTGGAAGGCACCTTTAAAGATCATCTGGTTCCAACACCCACCAGCTCAGACTGCCCAGAGCCCCATTCAACCGGGCCTTGAACACCTCCAGGAATGGGGCATCCGCAGCCTGTCTGGTCAGCCTCAGTTCAAGCACCTCACCACTCTCAATTACCTATTGTGATTACCAATTGTCCTATCACTGTCAGATTGTGTAAAAAATTGGTCTCCTTCCTGGAAGGCCACAATGAGGTCTCCACTGAGCCTTCTTTTCTCCAGGCTGAACTAGCCCAGCTTCCTCAGTTTGTCTTCAAAGGATAAATGCTCCAGTCCTCTGAGCATCCTCATGGCCTCGTCTGGACCGACTCCAACAGCTCCACGTCTTTCTTGTGTTTGGGGCCCCATCAGTCCAGCTGAGGCTCATAAGGGCAGAGTAAAGGGGACCATTCCCCTCCCTCTCCTTGCTGGCCTCCCTGCATCCTCTGTTGATGCAGCCCGGGACACTGTTGGCCTTGTGGGTCTTCCAGAAAATACCACATGCTTGGTTGAGCATGGCTTACCCTAAAATGGGCAGATGCTTACCTTCCTTCTGGCTGCCCGCGGCGCTTTGCTGCTGCAACAAGCTCTGGCTGTACAAGGTGGGCAGCGCAGCGGCAGCATACTGCTGGATTCCTGAGTAGGCCTGGGTGAGCGCGTCCATTGTGCCGGCCGTACCATTCGTCAAGCCTGTTGCGCCGAGTCCTCCGTTCAGGGCCGCCATACCTGAGAGCATTTGAGCAACTTTACAAAAAACCCAACAATAGAGAAAAGAAATTGCACTTGTTCATTAGTGCTTTCCGAAAGTCGTTGGTATTATATTGACACTGACAAAGACGGCAGTGCATGCAGCTCGGCGTGGCACCAAATGGGACTGAAAACAAAGAAACACGACTTTGGCATCAGGATCACTTCAACACAATGGTTGCACAGTCAAACAGACTTACATGCAGCCTGCTACTGGCAAGTACTACAGCTCTGTGCCCCCCAAGCCCTCTCTGCTCATCAACCTTAACCCTCATGCTTCTTGAGGTGTCCAAGAGCAGGACCCATTCAACCTCCATCTTTGTGAGCTGGCCACTTGGGAAAAAGCATTCTGGGAGAAAACCCACACTCTCTGGACCGGTCTTTATCAAAGGGATATTTGCTCATACAGAGTCAGCATAGAACCCTGATTCATAGCGTTTTGAAACAACCATCCACACAGCTCCAGGCTTTCTCTCTTGGATTTCTGGTCAGAAGATGGATGGCGATGCTTTGCATTTCCATCCCCCTCTCCCAGCTACACTTGTAAGGGCAGAATGGATGAACAACAGTGCCACTGCAGTGACGGCAAGCGCTTCGCCCAAACCAAGAATCTTTTACAAAGAAACAAAGGTGTTTGGTTCTAGCAATGTGTTTCTTTACTCCTCACTGGAAGCATAGCCGCCTAATTTTTTTCTTCAAAACGATTCCACATCCTGATAAATAACAGGTTAATTTGACTGGGATGACTGCCAAGGAGGAAATTTCAGACTGGATTGCTAGCTGTGCATAAAATGGCATCCTTCATCCATTCAAACAGCACTATCTGCGAAAGAACTCCTGGACGACAGCCTCTTCTGTGCATCCTCATGGCTCTAAGATAAGCCACAACGAAGTTAACAAAATTAACAGTTATTTTTTTCAGAAATTCCAGAAAAAATTAATTTTCTCCTTTGTCAGTCAAATGGGTAGCAAGATTCAGAAACCTGCTCATTGCCCACATTCTGACTACTGTCAAATAGAGAGTAAGTGCTCAGCAGGTCTGAGAGGCCACCTTTTGTGTGCAATTACTACTCTGTGCTCTCCATTTTTTAGGCGAACAGATCACAAACAACTTATTAGGGCTTAATCAGGCCCCTCAAGGCACACTAAAACAGTCAACAGAAAAATGGGGCACCTGGAACCACCACCAATAGTTTCTTAGTCATTGACTGTGTCCAGTTTCTGTTGGCACAATGGCGGGTGGAGGTAACTGGTGGAGTTGTACTGGGACGCAAAAGATAGGAATATTGAGGAAAAAAAAAAAAGAGGGCTTAACTTCAGAGCAACAATAAAGGGCTTATATGTAAATGGGAAAAAAGTAAGGAAATTAAGCAGAGGACACTTTACAGTGAATGAACAATTAAATCTATTACATTAGGTAACAATCTTCTTCAAGGAAAGTGGTATAAACCTTATCACATGAGTAATTTGGAGACAGAATACTGGAGGGAATTATCCTGAATTGACAGAGGAGGATAAAGATGCTGACCTACTAGTTTTCTTCCATCTCTCATGTAGATTCAGGAAGTGTATTCCTATGAGCCTCTGATAATCAGGACAATTGCTCAAGTGGCACCTTTCTGGCTCCACCAGAGTCTGTGCCAATTAAGACAACTGTACTGCATAAATTATACCATTTGATATTACTGTAATTTGTGTGACTAAACACTTGACAGAGATGTGATATTCTTAGCTTTGCTTAATAAAATGTCTTGCACTTTGAAGATTTCTCTTTCCCCTCCACCCCACTTCAGAGCACTGCTGTATCCTGATAGGAGATACTGGCTGCATCTATGAACAAAAATCTCTGTCAGAGCACAGCCAGCTATTCCTTGTCTAATGGTTCCAAATGTGAAACAAAACCTGCAAACCAATGTAGTTTAAGAAACACCTTATATCTAAAAGACAAGATATTTTGAAAATGAAGATTCAAACTAATAACGGTGATGAAGCAATAATTTGATTCTGAGCCTGACTTTAACTTACTCCTTAGATTCCATACTTAATTTGTGTCATTGCTTGCATGTGTACACACAGCACTGATTGATAAAAAAAAAAAAAAAAAAAAAAAAAAAAAACACAACAAAACTTGTATCTCTCCCTTTATTATAGTGTTGAAATAACTTGATAATAGCGGAAGCATTAGGATAACACGTTATCTTGTGTGAGTCATCAGCCTATTAGACAAACACGCTTTGTGTCGCTGTGGGCAGTATCCTCCCCCTTCTTTCACCCAGAATCAATAGCCGCTACCCACCAAATGATTTCAGATCAGCCAGCAGATAGCTCCTGCTCAGCACACTGCTTCTGGGAAGGGCACTTCTACCCAACCACAGTCTAAATACGCTTCCCTCCTGAGCAAAGCAGCTCTGCAGAAAAGTCTCTGTTTTTTTTCTCTTCTCCCTTTTCACACGTTACAAAATCTGCAAGGTCCAGCTGCAGTTACACATTTCTGCCATCTCTCTATGATATCTACTAATGCATCTCAGACTGATATTAAACTCTAGTCTTTTCCTCGCTTCTGTGAAATAATCATTTTGAGTCTCTCATCCACAGCATTCTACTTTCCTGAGCTACATAACACAGAAATGACAATGCTTGGCGAGTCCTAAGATCTCTCAAAGTGCCTTCCAAGCACCTTCAAATCTGTCACAGATAATTTTACCTCCAATTGACAGATGTAAATACAGGGATAGAAAGGCTAACTGCCCTGGGTTCACATACAAATATTCTGTCATAGCTGTCCAACATGCTGAGTCTATGGTCTTCTTTCTTGATTATTTAAATTTACTTTCCTCAAAGGAGACAGCCTTTTTAGATGTTTCAAGCAGAAAAAAGGATGATTGGGTGAATCCCCAAATGTACAAGGGCTGCTCCAAATGTAATGTCTCCTATTTTATTATGTTGGCCCATGACATCAGAAGCAGATGTTGGTGGTACTGCAGTAGATGTTAAACCTTCCCACCAGTGTTCCATTTTGTTGCTATGTGACAGATGGCAGCAGAGGGGCAGTCTGACAAAATGGTGTCTGACACAGAGGTGTGTATGAAGCAAAGGCGCAGAACTGAATCCCTCTGTGCAGAAAAAATGGCACTTACTGACATTCATTGACTTGCTGAATGTTTATGGAGATCAAACAGTGGATGTGAGCACAGTAAAGCAGTGGGTGATGTAGATCAGCAGCGGTGACAGTAACATTAAAGACAAGCCATGGTCTATAAGGCCAAGCACAGCTGTTACACTACAAAATGAACAGTGTCTTGATCAGCTTGTCTGCATGAATTGGCTATGGTGGTGACTCTGATGAAAAACTGTGTGTAGCTGAGAATTTTGTTTTTGAAATAGTGTGACTGTGTTTTCTGTATCTGTTGTAGTTCACATGGAAAAAGATAGAAGGCATTTCTTTTGGAGCAACCCATGTATGCACAACTGTTGCTGATCCTCGGAGACATCTGACTCACCATATTCCACTTTTAGTTTTATGACCTCAGATATGTTTCTACAATGCTTCTCTCTACAATGTGAGCACTACCAGTTTCCAGAGCTCAGCCTGATTTCCCCAGACCCAGAAAGCAGACCAAGTCCCCTTGTGAACTTAGCCTAGAAGACGTTCTCCCAGTGAATCTTACACACACGGACATGGTTTCAACAGAAGAACATCTCCTTCAAAACATCTGTGTAAACGAACGTGCAAGACCAGTGCGACCTTCTGATTCTTTCTGGGTTTATGCTCAGCTCGACTGGTGCTTTGGTCATTCTCATTAATTCTCCAATCGAAAGCATATCACTGATTTCCAACTTTTCTGCATAATTATTTCAGGAACCTTCATGACAAAACAATGTTTTGCTCTTGACCACAGCATACTGTGAAACATAGACCCACTGAACTTCTGGTTTCCTGAAGACAGAATGTGAACAACTGGATCAGAAAGGGTCACTACGAAAAGCCCTGGCTTATCATTAAAATAGACAGGGGAGGTTGTTAGCATTGGGACAGTGCTTTGCTACTGTCAGTGTCACAAGCAACTGAAACTGATAATCTGTGTTCTCCTGAAAGGAACACATGCCACAACACAGCATATGAGGAAATAGTTTCTCCTCTTTGTATCTCTCTCACAGACTAATATATTTATGTATATAAATAGACAGACATATCCACATGCATTTTTTTACGTACGAGCGCTATAAACATAGAAATTCTAGGCACGTACACATTCTGCAATTCATGAAGATTTGGGACTGAAGCCATTGTTGTTATGAGTCTATGGAAGCAATGGTGTCTTCTAACAAGCTAGAATTTAGTACCAGGTTGTGAATACATCATTAATACTTCAAATGGCACATGCAGGTAAATTCGCACACACAACACCTGAACATTCTTGTTGAGAAAATGTGAACTCTTAGCTTGCAGCCTTGCAATAAATGATAAAAGGAGCACAACAGAAGGATTTCCATGTGAAGACAAGAGCTCACAGGTGATTCATTCCTGCTCACTGTTGATGAAGGGAATGTTATCTTGGAGTGCTCTAGTGTGCCTAGGTTCTTAGTATTTGTGGGAGGGAAGCAGTGGGATGCTATATGCTGCTCTTGATATTGTGACCTCTTGAAAATGACGTAAAGCACACTGACTGTTTATCAGAGAAAGGACATTTAATGTTTTCTTACTTATGACAGTGTAATTCTCTTATTCAGAGAGCTCATTAGAGGAGATAAGTTAGCTTTTCATGCATGCCATTGTCAGTAGCTTGTTTTAATAGTAAGTCAGAATAAAAAAAAAAAGCTAACATTGGCATTTTGGGACCTAATATACATACTTTTCTTCAATTGTTCTGAAGTCATCTTTGCTATAAGGTTGTTTGTGTGAAATATGCATGTCCTTGCCAGAAGCAAGATCTGTTTTACACAAGGCCCCATGCAATCACTCATCATTGCTACATGGACAGCCATTAGCCCCCTTCCTTCCCAGATCCCAACAATGACAACCAGAGATCACAGAACAAAAGGACTGGGTGAGCAGCCAAATAACAGTAACAAAAAGGACATCATGCAGAGCATCAGAGTGAGCAAGTGATACTGAGGAGGACATCCATTCCTGGGGGCACATTATGATGGGTCATGGACCGTCAAAGACTAAGTAGATTCCTTGCATTTCTGAAGGGAATGCAAGGAACAACAGCAACTAAAAAAGGGGACGGGAAAATGCAGCTGAACCAATTTCTTCCATTTCAGGCAAAGCTGAAGTCCTCACAACAAATACTATAAAAAAATTCTTCTTTGGGAAAAAACTTGACCAAGGCTGAGAACAAAGATGTTCTAACAGCTACCACAATCTACCTATCTTGGTATGTCAGGGTTTAAGATGCCATAGGATAGATACTCATGTTCTGGTATTACAGCTGACTAATGTCACTGTTTTCATATACTTGCCAATTAAGTGCCAAAAAGTTGCCCTCATTTTAAAAACAAGTATGCTGCTCTCATGTCAATTTGATAAGTCCTACAAACTTTATAAAAGAACTACCTCTGTGGCAAGTGTGCCTCTCTTAGCATGATATTTCTGAATGAGGTTTTGTGCACTGATCTGGAATCTTTTCAGACTCCCAGAATGAAGGAGCTTATCCTATGAGCTAGATAACCAGATTCCCTGGTAACATTTCTTTTGCCTTCCATTTGCTTGCAAGAAAAGGAATCTTTTTGCAGGGACCCAAAAGACTTCACTTTGCAGAGCAAATTATGTGAAACTTAAAGACTCCAGAACTGCGTATGTAACACGAATGGAACTAGACCAGCTTGACTACTTGTGCATATAGATTCAAAAATAATTGTATAATCACTTTACAATTGGCAGTTTTTGTGGCAAGATTATTGGGAAAGGCTGTCCACCACAGCAATAAATACTCACTGTTTACGGTACCTGCTAGTGCATTAATATTATTCAGTCCAACGGTGGCTCCAGCCAGTCCTTGGAGAGTACCCAAAGAAGTCAAAGAATTCATGGCTGCACCAGCTGTGGAATTAGCAGTTGATGCAGCCACTAAAAGAAAAAGAAAATAAAGAAGGCAAAATTAAAGCTATGTTTTGGTTACATTAGTTGATCACAAAACAACTTACTTACAATAATGTTAAACGAAACAACAAGACTACTTGCAATAGAGAAAGAAAAAATATAAGACCAATAGACCAACCTTGCTCAAAATGTTACTGTTATGACTGTTCACAGAAAGTGTTGATGAGCCTTGAACTGCAAAGTCTGGATCATAAAATTTAGCGCTGTGCTATTTGCAAACAGTAACAGTAAGATCGAGTACAGTCACTTTTTCAAAAGTTTGTCAGCCAGGGTAGCATCCCAGGGTGATCACCCAACCAGCTGAGATACTGCTGCTTTTCAAACATCACTGAAAAAATAGAATTCCTTGTACAAGTTTGTCATACAACAGATTTTTGTCGCAGACTCTTCAAGTAAAATTTAAAATCTTCTGTGAGACACTATTCTCCAGTTATGGCTGCAGGACATTGTATGAACACTATTTGAATGCCTGAAGTTTACAAAAAACAAGAATTATGGGACATACACAAAAAGTAACCACTTATTGCAGGCTCTTAGTCTGGTCTATGTATGCAACTAGTCATTTACATGTACGCCATAGATGATACTTTATGCTTCTCCCAAAGCTCTGCCAGAGGGAGAGCTGAGGCTCACAGAGATAAAAGGTCTCTGCTGTTATGATGTTGAGACAATTCTGAAGGTGGGAGAGAGATAAATCCACCTGAATCATATGTTTAGGCAGAGAAAGAGACTCAATCTCTTATCTCAGGAAATAAGGCACAGTAGAAAATTCTATCATTTAGGATAGGTGGGATGAATTAGAAAAATGTCCTTCACCTGTAGAAGGGCCTTGAATAGCCTGCATGAATTAAAAAATTAACTTACAGATATATGAAGTTGTATCAGGTAAATCACACTTACAAAAGCTGAGGAAGTAATTAATTTTTTAGCTTGTCTCTAGAGCCCCATTAATACACCAATCACGAAGACTTTTTTTTCTTTTTCTTTAAAAATTGCACCTTGTTCTGAAAAATGAACATTCAAAGTCAATGTTTTGTTGGTGAACTATGGCATGCACATCATGTCTACACCGTGGTTTTTTTTGCCCCTACCCATTATGTAGCTGGGAAATGGTTAAGATGACTTCTATCTTGATGCTCTTTGATGCTCTTTTGGGTTGCTAAACACATCAGAATACCCAGTGAACCCTCAAGAAAGTGGAGTATCTACAGTTTGCAGCACCCAGAAAGGAAAAAGAAGCTGAGGCTAAATTTTCAAACGCTGTGGGTAAACTTCAAGGGCCTAAACTACAAAGAACTCATCTTTACAACCTCAAGACCCACCAAAGACAAGCCTTCCCCTCTGGGCCTCCAAGTCCAAAGGACTCTCTTGATGAGAGTAAGGAAAGACTTCCTGAGTTTGGAGCATTCCTTGTCCCTACTTTCACCACATCTGCAGTGTTCTCTTGAATAATTTTATATGTTGCAGACAGAAGCAGCTTGGTTGATCAATCACCTTCTACAAAGCAATAAGCCAATAATGTCTCTGATTAAAAAAAAACTTAATCCAAGAAACAAGTGAGAAAACTCTTTTGTTGGATAATGTGAACACCAGCAGAGAAGAGAGAAAAAATCAAAGTGGATGAATGTCAGTGAATTCCCTGTGACCAACACAGCTCTGTGTTTCTGTTCATGTTCATTATCAGATCATTTAAATGAAGCACTTAAATCTGAAGGATCTGATTGGTTATGACTGGGCTGAATTCCATTCATTTCTCTTTCAGAGTATTATATTACTCTTTTATCTTGATGAAACACATACATTTAAGAAATGAGAGAAATGGGGGCTAGCAAATTGCTTGCCTAAAATTACATTCAAGCTCTTGGGGGCAAATAACTCCTGTGAGTGAGAGCCATACGCTTATGGATTGTCAACACATCTGTTGGAGAAGGCAGAAAAATCTGATTAAATCCTCTTGTGTAGCCCAGAGCTCATCGTGGTGGTTCTTCTCAGGCTCACTGCTCAAACACGTGCCTTGAGGATGGCCAATATCTGGGGCCAACATTTCTTTTTTTCTTTTATTCTTTCCAAGTTTCTCCATTTCATCAGACAAACACAGAGCAGGTGTCTCAGCAATTCTCCCATTTGAAGTTGCAATGCAGATTATCTAGCTTGCCTAAATAATGACTTGGCACATAATCAATGTAAAATACTAGTTGGAGCACTGAAGAACCTCAGAAATCAGCATTTTGTTGTGGTTATTTCTTCTGCTTAAAAGTTATCTGTCTCACAGATCCACTGGTACAATGGTTTTTTTTGCTCTTTGGCCTATTATTTCTTCGAGGAATAAGAAACCGAACAAATTGAGTGGTTTCCATTATCTTATTGAACATGGACTGAACAGAAATAAAAGGAGCTCCATTCATTAGGGCACTTGTACACGATGGATCCAGCAACTTGTTGGATGAGATATCCTGGGAGACTCCACACCTTCTCTTTTACTGCATCCTGTGCATATGAAATGAAGACAACGATGAGCTAAGACATTATGAATGGGACCAAGACTTAGAGAGAGCACAAAATGCTGCAAAAATCAATGGTTGAAGTAATGGTATTCCTTGTCCTCAAAAAACTTATAGGGAGATGAAACAGAGTCTTCGAGACTTTGAAAGTCTTACAAGAGACACGTGGAGGCTTAGGCCAGCTGAAAGTTTTTACCTTATGAACTCCCAGAATATGCTGAAAATCATCTGAAGACAAGGACTATGCCTTTCCGGTCTTTTGCCCTTTTCTACTTACTTTCAACTAAAAGTTTTAATGTCTACTGAACCAAAGGGGAAAAAAAAGAAAAATTACATGCCTTGTGGTAAAGGTAGATGATTGCACTATTATGGGGGAACCTGTATATTTCTCTCATGTCAGCAAAGCTCCTGGGCTCCCAGAACTTGCTCTGAGTAATGGCAAAGGAAGTATGATGCACTGCTGGAACAGCATTATTCTATATTTATGGCTTTTAGTTTTCCACATGACAAACACAGATTGGATACCTACAGAATTTATAAATTCATTTTTACCAGGCTCTCCTGGCACCATGTAAATTAAAGGAAAACATTTCACAGCTCTCTCCATCCTCAACACCACCACATAGCTGCTCTGAATTGAATCACTTCACAGTGGTGCTTAATTAAGAGTAGGTATCTCTCCAGCTACACAGACAGCCTGATGTATGGAGCTGTAATGCTGCCAGGAATAACCCTCTTTGTGCTACTGGTGCACCACTATTAAGTGCAACACAGAGGAAAATCAAAACACATAAAAAAGTGCAAATCATAGAATACCATACATAGAATACCCTGAGTTGGAAGGGACCCATAGGGATCAAGTCCAATTTCTATGACTTAGGCTTCTGGAATCCCTCTGTATGGCATGCCTTTTTTCCACAACATTTGCTATATTATTTTTCTCTTCATGCTGGCAATTTTATAGTTGCCTCCTTAAACCTATATGTGGCAGGGTGACGTAGGGCTGCGTTAAGTGAATTAGCCGATACTGAAGTTAGGGGGAGAGATTCAGCCTGATGATTATACAGTAGCTGCATATACAAAAGGCAGAGAAGAACAGAGCTGCTTTTTATCTGCTGCACCTACCCCTCCCTAACAATTTTAAGCCTTGGATAAACATCAGAACATAACAGATAAGATTTTGTCTGCTTTTTCCTCTCCAGCATCAGTCACTGGAATAAGTTGACAGCTTTCTCAAAGAGACTGTTGCTCAATGAGAGCAGCACTGTCTGGCCCTAGTGGAGAAGTTATGGGGTTGGATCCTTTGGCTGATGTTCCAAGAGTTCAGGCCAGATGCTCACCGTAACTCTAACTAACCTTAATAATCTATTAATATGTGAAGATACCACAGCTTTGGAAAGAGGTCAGTGAAGACTGGCAAGAATTGTCCAATGACCTGTAGAAAAGTCTGCTTTGTCTCTTGAAGATATGCTATGTGCTGGACAGCTGTTGCCTCCTCCATCTAGGACCCATCCAGAACATTTTAGAATCTTCAACCATGAAAGATAAGACTCAAAATGTATATTTAACTATTAGAGACTGCAGTAGCTTCTTCACTGATCCTTCTATTCCCATATTTCTGAGTCAGCCTCATAACTATCTGCTTCTTTTTCCTTCCAGACTACTCAACTTCAGTTTAGTAAATAGCCAGACACTTCCAAATATTATAAATAATATTATTAAGAAGTTGAGAACTAGAAAAGAGCATAGTAGAGCTCTCTCTCGTGACACTCCCAAATCCCTTCCAACCTCAGCAATTTGATCTCTTCCTAAATGAAATTTTTTATGAGCTTCATTATAAATAAAGAAACTTGGCCTTTGATTAACATATTATTTAACAGAGCTCTCTTTGATATAGTGAACATGTTTTGATTTGGAGTGAATGTTGTACATGGTTATTTAATTACCACTGTTGTTTTTGTGGAGATTTTTAAGTCTGGATTTATCTGGTATTTTCATCTATTGTCAACATTTTAATTTCTGCGTGCAATAGAGTATAACAACTTTTAAGTCAAGACTCTTATACAAAAAGTTTAAGTGAGCAATGAGACATTTCCCTTCTTATTAGTAGCATTTCAACACAATTCCTAAAAACTATGCCAATCTAGAGAAACAGGCAGTACTAACACATAGACTTTTGGCCATTCTGTTGGCAAGCTTAAATCTATAGAGTCACAATGATTTACATCTGGATTCACATCAGCTGGAAAACTAGATTCAGGATAACAACATCTAGGAAAGTCAATGATGTGGAAATATTTTTTTGGCTTTGCATTGCATACTGTGGACGGGATTAATTTCTCCGCCTTTGGCAGTGTCACAGTTAGTTTAAGCTAGTCTAGCCAAAACTGTTCTTTTGGACCATCTCTCAGATAAAGAGACATCTAGCTTCAGTGCGCTACCTTTGGATTTCCATGTCAGGATGAG